GCCCCCCCCTCGCTCGCACCCGCCTGCCCACCCGCCCTCTAGAGTGTGGGGGGATTGAAGACAGTGAAGGGGGTGGGAGTGGACAGACGGACGGATGGACGTAGCAGGCTGGGGAAGGGTGAAGACATTCCCCCCGGATCTCCCACCCTCGGAGCTCTCCGGATTTAGCAAGGGGGAGAAGATCTGAAATATAGAGGGCAGGGCATCGCACAAGAGGCGGGGCCTCTAGGCACAGGGGCGGGACCATCCGTGAAGTGGGAGGGGTTTAATGTCAATGGGTGGGGCTTAGAAATCCGTGGGCCCGCCCCTTTTGAGGAGTGGGTCTGGCTTGAAGTTGAACGGGAGGAGCCTGTGGGAAAAGGGGCGGAACTTTGTGTGGGGACCGTATCTTTGCAAATTAGCTGGAGGTGTGGGGTTGGGGTGTCGAAGAGGCGATCAACTTGGAAAGTGGGCCAATCCGTGACGCAAATCCTTTAGTCCCTCCCGCAACCTCGTCTCCCACTGCTCCGCTGCTCCGCTCCTAATTGGCTCTAGTTTCTCCGCCCGCCAGACGTCTTCTCCACTCAGCAGAAGTTTTACAAAGGCGTATGTAGGGGGAGCCGGGGCACTTGAAATGAACACATCTCTGATTGGGCATCTTTGGACCTTATTTGCATGGGCAATCTGGATTGGCTGGTTTCTTGGGTGGCCAGGGGGGTGTTGGTTCCGCGCGTGACCACCCACAGCCATGGCCGTGGTAGGGGCTGCTTTCCGCCGCCTAGGTGCCTTGTCCGGAGCTGGAGCCTTGGGTTTGGCCTCCTACGGGGCACACGGTCAGGGGACGTGGGATGCAACTGGGCTGGGGGCCATCTTTGGGGTCTGATGCGGGAAAGAGCCTATAGGAAGCACTCTGTGTCTTGAGTAGAGATCCCTTGGAGTCGAGTTTTTCAGTGGGTTCAAAAGCTTCTCAGTACTACTCGACACCTGTGTCCACCAATCGGAAGCTTTCGGGGATGCCCTCTTTCACCAGTGTCTGTGCGGGTTCCCGGGGTTTGGGACAGTCCAGGCTAATACACGGGTGATAGCTTTTGCTTCTTTCCGCAGGCGCCCAATTTCCGGATGCCTACGGGAAGGAGGTGAAGTAACAACACTGGGGATCCCGGAGTTGGAACTACGTGCGCAATATCTGGGTGTCCTTAAACTGGGGGATAGGGATGTTGAAAATAGAGGGTGGGGAGATGAATGGGAAGGGCTGCAAGGGCTTCAAGCGAAAGTAAGGACTGGACTTCGGTCCTGTGTGCCACTTGAGGATCCTGGGCTCCTGTGTTGCTTAGGAAATGTCTCCTTTTTTTTCCTTGCAGCTCTTTGACAAGGCCAACAAGCACCACTTTTTGCACAGCCTGGCCCTGTTAGCGGTACCCCATTGCAGAAAGCCCCTCTGGGTAATCAGTCGCCTTGTATAATTCTCATCAAACCCCATTCATTCTCTCGTACTGCTTTGTTCTTAAAACACCGTGTTGTTTTCCATCTCTTTCAGGCAGGATTACTGCTAGCTTCTGGAACTACCTTATTCTGTACCAGCTTTTACTACCAGGCTCTGAGTGGAGACACTAGCATCCAGATTGTGGGTCCTGTTGGAGGAAGTCTGCTCATCTTGGGCTGGCTTGCCTTGGCTTTTTGATGTCTCTTGTTTAATTACCCAGTCCCGGGCTTTCTGGGTAACTGGAGAGGAAGGGTGTTGAAGCAGAAAAGAAATTAAAAGAAAAAGGCACATAAAGAAATAAAGAACTTTGGGGTCTTTATTCATTTAACCTTGAGCAAGGAAGGATAGAGAGTCAACCTTGGAATTCTTTGCAATTGTCAGACTTACAAATAAGTCCTGGTTCTGGAATTCTGTACTTTGTAAGGTGCAGTAAAGGTGGACAAGACACACACCATTAAATAATGTGGCTTTCTACCTAAGGAACTGAAATGCGGAGTTCAGTGCGATTTTAGTAAGTTTTTTCCAGTGCTGAGGATTGACTCCCCCCAGCCCAAAAAAGCCTTGGAAATGTTAGGCAACTCTTCCATTGAGTTATATGCCCACCTGCCTCCTGCCTTAGCCTCCTGACTGCTGAGGTTACATGTAGGTGTGTATACCCAGCTTCATTAGAATTTGGTTAATTGAGAATGGTGGGGTTTAGCCCTGTCATTTCAGGGTTGCCCTTTTCAACAGTGTTGCTGGTGAAACAAATGTGTTACATACCCATATACTCTAAAAGGGAGAACCCAGACAAGACAGTCATGTGATTAGTTATAAACTATGTTATAAACTTCAAAGCAGAAGCAGAGTGCTATTTTTTTGAGGGGGAGGGGGTTTCAAGACAGGGTTTCTCTGTGTAGCCTGGGAGCCTATCCTGGCACGTGCTCTGTAAACCAGGTTGGTCTCAAACAGAGATCCGCCTGCCTCTGCCTCCCGAGTGCTGGGATAACAGGCGTGCGGCACCAACTCCCCTAGAGTGGTACCTTTTCGACATCAGAAAATGTTTTGAAGCTGGGAGGTGATGGCGGATCTCTGTGAGTTCGAGGCTGGTCTGCACAGCAAGTTCCAGGACAGGCTCCAAAGCCACAGAGAAATCCTGTCTCAAAAACCAAGAAAAAAAAAAAAAAGATAAATGTTTGCAGTGCTTGAGATGACCTTAAAGAAGCCCTAGTGTGTGGAGAACATTCAGTGAACAGACTGAGGTAGAAAGGGGGCATCATGGGTCTTCTATATAGCTGAGTTTTGAACTAAGGCAGGAAAAGAGACACACAGTTGCAAAGCAGACCTGACTAACACTCATAGAATACAGAGAAATGAAACAGCTGGGCAGTGGAGCATGTTCCCGCTCTAATGGGAAGACCCCACCCACCAAGGAGGGCCTAGTGAAGCAAGACCAAAAGGACAAGAACTGAACAAGATCACTTAAAATGCCAATCATTTAGGGAGTATCCACACACTTTTCTGAGTGCACACCTGCAAACAATAAAGTGTGCACCTTCAATATGTTATACAAATTGAATACAGGGGCTGGAGAGATGGCTCAGAGGTTAAGATCACTGAATGTTCTTCCAGAGGGACTGAGTTCAATTCCCAGCAGCCACACGGTGGCTCATGACCATCTATAATGACATCTGGTGCCCTCTTCTGGTGTGCCGGCATACACGGAGGCAGAAATATTATATACATAATAAATAAATAAAATCTTAAAAAAAGAAAGAAAAAGAAAACAAAACTAGATGTGGTGGTGGTACGTGTACTACTTGGAAAACAAGAGGTTGGCGGATCACAAATTGGAGGCCAGCTTAGGCTACATAACAAGATTCTCTGAAAACAAAAACCAAGGTGGTCTAGGTCCAGGTTGGTGGCAGCTGCAGTATCGGCATACTGGATGTCTTGTTTTGACCATGGCCAAAAGGGAGAAGTATATTCCAGGCAAAAGGAATAGCTAGCCCTAAGTCCTTGAGGTAAGAAAAAATTGATGAATAGGAGTAAGGACAAAACCAGTGTTGCATCCATGAACTGACTAAGGGATCCTGAATGGTGGGTGCAGGCCTGACAGAAGGTAGCAAGTTGCTTAAACTGTTACATGCAGTATAGTAATAAGTTACTAAGTTTGTTTTTGTTTTTGTTTTTGTTTTTCGAGACAGGGTTTCTCTGTGGCTTTGGAGGCTGTCCTGGAACTAGCTCTTGTAGTCCAGGCTGGCCTCGAACTCACAGAGATCCGCCTGCCTCTGCCTCCCGAGTGCTGGGATTAGAGGCATCACCACCACCACCCAGCAAGCTACCAAGTTTTAAGTCAACCTTTTAGGCTCTTATTTGTGTGTGTGATATTATCTTTTTGAAATAGGGTCTCCTGTATCCTAGGCTGGCCTCTAATTCCCTATCTAGAGGAGGGTGATTTTGAACTGTATCTTTTTTGGGATGGGAGGGCATTGAAACAGGATCTCTATATAGCTCTGGCCGTGCTGGAACTCTGTACTCCAGGCTGGCCTCAAATTTACAGAGACCTCCCTGCCTGTGCCACCCATGTGCTGGGTTTAAAGGTGTGCAGCACCACTGCCCCTCTATATCTGCATACTTTTATTTTTTATTTATTTTTAATAATTTGCTTATTTATTATATTGTACAGTGTTCTGTCTACATGTATCCCTGCCTGCTAGAAGAAGATACCAGATCTCATTACAGATGGTTGTGAACCACCATATGGTTGGTGGGGATTGAACTCAGGACCTCTGGAAGAGCAGTCAATGCTCTTAACCTCTGAGCTATCTTTCCAGCCCTCTGTATACTTTTAAAACTAGAGTTCCTATTTCCTACCCTCGTCTCTGTTAAGCTGCAGGTTCCTTTTGTTTTTCTAAATTTATTGCTATTGCATGTGTGTATGTAGTATGGAGACCAAAAGACAAACCTCAGGAGTTGGGTCTCTCCTTCAAGCATGGGCTCTGGGAATAAAACTCAAGTCCTTAGGCTTGCAGAACAAGTGCTTTTACCTGCTGAGCCATCCCACCAGCTGAGCTGCAGATCCCTATGGTAAGAGCTTTTGTTTGATTTGTGTCTTAGTTACTTTTCTATTGCTGTGATTAGACACCATGACCAAGGCAATTTAAACAAGAGTTTATTTGGGGCTTATGGTTTCAGAAGGTGAGTCCATGACCAGTAGCTGAGAGCTCACATCTCTATCAGTAAGCATCAGGCAGATAGTTAACGGAATGGTGTAGGCTTTTTGAAACCTCAAAACCTGCCTCCAATGAAATGCCACTTCCACTTAGGCCATACCTACTAATTCTTCCTGCACAGTTCTACCAGCTGGGGAGCAAGTGTTAAAATATATGAGCCTATGGAAGCCATTCTCATTGAAATCACAATTGTTTGTTTGAGATGAGCTCATGTAGCCAAGGCTGGCCTCAAAACTGCTGTGTATCCATGGATGACCTTGAACTCTTATCTTCCTGCCACCATCTCCCAAGTGCTATGAAGAGAAGCCTGAGCAACAGGCCTAGCTTGCCAAAAATTTGAAGGGTCACACCAAGCAAAAATATGCATTGTGAGAGAATTCTAGGAGCCACCACAGAAGAGCACAGGCATCCAGGGCATACATTTGGAACCTAGGAGTGGGAGCAAGAGACGGGTCTGTGGGCTGAACTTCTTTGGGGGCCCACAGCATTGCCTATATATGTTAGCGTCTCATAACAGGACTGGACTTCATAATTTGATGAGAGCACAAGGCAAAGGTAGGAAACTCAAGGGTTTAGTTCACCAGGCTTAAAACCACAGCAACCAATGCTGGAGACACAGCTCAGGGAATAAGAACACTGACTACTCTTCCAGAAGACCCAGGTTCAATTCCCAGCACACACATGGCAGCTGTCTGTGGCTACAGTTCTAGGGTACTGGACACCCTTACACAGGCAAAACACCAATGCACAGAAAAATAAATATTCTTTTTTAAATCCACAGAGAGGTTGTCAAGTGGTTCATAGTATAGACTTTATATTACTAAAACAGGATTGGGTAGGGAATGCCTTAAACTATGTAGGTCAATATGATAAACCAGGATAGGAAAACAAAATAGAAGCCAAGGGCTGGGTTATAGCTGAGTTCCTGAGCATTGTGTCAGGGATAGGTTTCCTGGTCTCTGCCTCCTGAGTGCTGGGATTAATGGCATGTACCTTATGCCAGGTTGTACTCAGGTTTTTTATTAGTGGAATGAACTACATAGCTGGGCATAATGGTGAGTGCCTTAAATCCCAGTACTCAGGAGGCAAAGACAGGCATTTCTCTGTGAATTGGAGGTCAACCTGGTCTACACAGAGAATTCTAGGACAGCCAGAGCAACATAATGAGACCCTGTCTCAAGTAAAAGAAAGGAACTTGTTCTGCATATATGGTTGTAAGTTAAACTGGGTGAGCTGCGGCTCACACTATCCTCCATCACCTCCCAAAGTTAAATTCTTCTAAAACCAAGAAATTCAAATTCCAGGGGCTGGAGAGATGGCCCAGTGGTTAAGAACTGGGCTTGATTCCCAGCACATACATGGCAGCTCACAACTGTCTGTAAGTCCAGTTTCAGGAGATCCAACACTTTCTACTGAACTCCATGGGCACTCCATGCTCCTGGTGTAGAGTCATACATACCGCAAAACACCTATACACACAAAATAAGAAAATAAGAAAAAAATAATGCAGGTGGCTGGGCGGTGGTGGCACACTCCTTTATTTCCAGCACCCAGGAGGCAGAGGTAGGCTGATCTCTGTATGTCTGAGGCCAGCCTGGTCTACAAAGTGAGTCCCAGGACAGCCAGGGCTGTTACACAGAGAAACCCTGTCTCAACAAAACAAAACAAAACAACCCCCCCAAAAAAAAACAAAACAAAAAAAAGCAGACTTGAGCAATGGAAGCATGGCCTTGTTAGTAAGACCATCCAGGCCAGTGTGCTCAGTGTTACGCTGAAGTAGGCTTGTTTAGACTTTGGGGACTGTTAAGGCTTCAGCTCATTTGCTGCATTTTCAGCATTAGTAAGAGGCCACCAAAGGAGAAGGAACAGGATCTTAAAAGTAACAAGTCAACAGGGAGAGGATAATGAAACCAGGGATTGGATGGGCAGGCAGTAAATGACTGATTAGAGAAAGCAGTGGAGGGGGGGGGACGTGCAGAAGGGTCTCCCAAGCCAAGCCTGAGTCACCTACCAATTCTCTTTATCTTAAATTCCATCTCTGAGACATAATGAAGTCATGTTTCCTCAAGTGCACATCACCACCGGCAGTACTGCCCTGGTTTCTGGTCCAGTCCATCACATGCCCAGATTTTTCAGGAACCTCCTCCTTGCCTCTGCCTGCCTGCAGTTTCCTGAGTTCTAATATAGTAGTCCTCAGTTTTGATTGTATAATAAAAACTGGAATTCTCAGAGTTCCTGTGTCTGTCCCTCATCTCAGACATTAAAATATAATTGACAACGAATAAGACCCAGGCAGAAGTGGTGGGCTGTTTTCGGTTTTGTTCGTTTTTAAATAGCATCTCACTCCCAAGATGACCTGGAACTAACTCATGGTGATCCTCCTGCCTCAGTCGTCAAAGTTATTTCGGACATGATCCACACCTACCTAGATGCCATCATGCTTTCTTCTTTTGAGGGAGGGGGTATTTTGATACAGTCTTGCTATTGTAGCCCTGACTTGTTCTGGAACTCACTATATAGGACAGATTGGCCTCATACTTGCAGCTGTCCTCCTGCCTCTCCCTTCCCGAGTGCTGGGATTACAAGTGTGTGCCACCATGCAGGAGAACGGGGACCTGTTCTATTCAAGTGTTTTTCCCTGAGCATCACCTCACGCACCTTTGGCAGCCTGTCACGTGCGCGCGTAATGGTGCGCCTGAACTGAGAGGTGCCTGTGTGGGTCAACGCTGCGACAGGGAGAGAACACAGCGAGGTGGCCCTGAGGTAGAAGGAGAATGTCGAGCCAACTCTGGAAGCCAATGAGTGAGGGTGAATGGTGCTCCGCTGCGTCAGCGACGCCCGCCCGACCCGCCCTTGGGAGGAGGATCGCCGAGTCCGGAGCAGCCACGCGGTGGGAGGCAGCACAGCCGCCCGCCGAGAAGGGTAGGGTCGCGGCGTGGGGATTGGGCCGCAGTCCCCTCCGGCAGCCCAGGTCTCCACGCCTCTGCAGTCGGAGCGGAAGGGGCGGGACCACGGCGAGCAAGGCGCACAAGGTCCAAGGTCCGCGGCCCCGGGGGAGGAGAAGCGACTGTTTTCTGCGCAGACGCCCCGCCCGGGCTGGGGGCGGGGCTTAGGCGGCT